TACAATTGAAAAAATTTTAGCAACATTACCTGTCGAAATACGTATTTATGGCTAATAGGAAATGCACGAATTTGGTTACATCGATCGACTCCATTTAAAGTTTTGTCGAATTTTATTTTATTTATTTTTGAGTGTCAGAAAGAATAATCAATTAAGAAACTTTGACCGAATTGTTTAAAGCACAAAAACATAAAAAACTAATACGTAGCTAGTAACTTTACTTCGTTAATAATTATGGATTTATAAACAGCGCCTTAAATTTATGAAATACGTGGCTGTTTGGAATCAAGATTTTGTTCAAGTTTTTATATTTATTAGTAGTCAAAGTTGATAATGACATTTCTGCTCTATCTTATTTAGACCTAAAGAAAATAATAATAATAAATTAATAATAATAAAGCTATTTCTGGTTATTTATTTAGGCGTATATTGCATAAGAAACATTACAAAAACAAATTATAAAATTGTAAATATATACACATTAAATTTACATGAAAAAATAAATATAAGTACAAATGTAATTTATTGAATTCGTAAAAGATTTAATTATACGCAAGACATAAAAATTTTTAAACATAATATGTAAAAACTTAATGAAATTTATGAAATTAAATATATAATATTGAAATAAAGTACTATAGTTTAATGTAATTGAATTTAAAATTTGAGTATACTTACTTAACCTTCAATTAAAATACTTGAATTTTAATTAAAATAAAATTATTATCATTATCATTATAATTATAATTTATTTATTTTTAATTGAAAGTTTTATATTAAATCTTAAATAATTGTGACCCTAAGTATAAAACCAAAAAACAATATTGAAAAAGAATATTAAAATTCTTTCGTGATAATTTCCAAATTCAAATTTCTTGAATATATTTAAGATAATACAAAAAAGAAAGAAATGGTCATTAATATATAGTCAAAGAAATATTTTTAAATGGTTATCAAACTAGAAAAATTCATAAGGATTGGACTGGAAAAACGCAAAAAGAATTAGATCATATTATCAAGACAAAAAGGGGGACAATTGTATGCATATTCATAGATATCTTAAACTTTGTTAAATATCCATTGTTAAAGATTTACAACACAGGCGTTTCATTATTTTTTAAAGTATTACTTTAAAAATAAAATACTATTTTGTTTAATTTTATTGTTCTAATAAATATCACATACATTTTCTCAGGGTCTAAAGATGTTATTGTCGGATAATTAACATTATTTTATTTTTCTTTTTTCTTTTGAATAAAATTTTATTTAATGTAATGCTACGACCAAGCGTCAAGTCTATCACTAAAAGTCCAGTCTCACGTGATATTACAAATAAGTGTGTTTATTTATGTTACGTTTTTTCAATTAATAATGGGTCCTCGTATATAATATAATGTGGTGACAATAAAAAGTGTTAAATAACTCTGTACTAATAATCTTACGAACCAGTAATCCAAAATATTTAAATTTCTACACCTTCGTTCTATCTTGCTTTCTTCGCCGGTGATAATATATAACGTAATTGAGAAATCCTGTGTCAAGTATGTCGACGAGCACATTGGGACTTTCGATTTTCTGCACACTGATTTTTCCTATAAATTTATTTTTAAATTTATCTATTTTCGTTATTTTGGGGTTTTCGGTTCCACCTGCGATTTTTAGGTCGTCATTACTTTTTTCGGTTCCACCTGCGATTTTTTGGTCGCCATTACTTTTTTTGCTTCCACCTGCGATTTTTTGGTCTTCATTACTGAGATCATCAAGTGCTTTTTCGATAATCCTTTGACTCAATTTGTTACAATCTTTGACTTGACACTCATCAGTTATTCCCAATCCGTGGATTACATTTTCCATATTTGAGATTGTGTTATCTTCCGGTTTCTTTCTTTGTGATGAATTATTCCGTTCCTGTTCTTCTGCATGTGGGTCTTTGTCTTTGGATTCTATAATACTGCAAAGATAAACGGAATCCAGTACTGTTGCAACATAGTAGTACTTGTTTTCTTTCTCATTATGAAGATATATATAATTCCATTCTTTCGTGTACTTCACAGAGTATTTTTCAAAATTATTATTGTTATCTTCATCATCTTTAGCAATGTAAATGTGCCGAAATTCTTTGATATTTTTAGGATTAATGTCAACAAAAACCTTATTCCTGCCGTTGTCATGACTATGATGGTGGATATTATTGACATGAACAACTCCGTCATTAGAAAAGAATAATGCAATTGAACGAGTTGAAACGGTGGTAATCATAAAATCTAGGACTGTGTGAAAAAAAGAAGCGGTGCAGTAAAAAGAATATTCGAAAAATACTTGGAGTATTGAAATAAAAATCACGGTGAATAAAAGCTTCTTGCCAATAAGAAAGGGGGTATATTTTTTTACTGTAAAGAAATGATGGGTAATTCCCGTGAAGTAGAAAACCGCATTTAAATAAAAAGCCGTGAGAAAATAAATAAGATCCACTAAAATATCCAAACCGTAAAGGTTAACTACGGATCTAACGGCGGATGAATAATCGAGTTCATTCTTTCCATAAATACCATTGAAATCATTCCGTATATCTCTGATATCATAAACAATAATAATAATAGAATGAGCGAGATAAACGGCAATAAATAGGCCTCTAGTGATTGGTAAAAAATGTATATTTTGGGATACTTCATCATGACTGATATGGTGGAAGCTGAACAAAAAAATGAATAGTACAAATATTAAAGCGACAGAAATTCCGAAAAAAAGTTTTATGTTCAAACTATCTTCTAGAGGCGTATCGTAAAGTTCTAAGGACACCTTGGTACTAAAGTACCATGAAAAAATTGGAAGAAAGGAAATGGTACAAATAACGAAATCATCTATGCGGCAGGTGCTTAGGTATCCGAACTTGGATGTCACACCATAAACAGCTATTGTAAAGAAGATGTTCGTATATCCAAGGATTGTGGCTGCTTGTGAACCAAATGACACGTAACTATCATATTCTGAATAAGAAGAAGTTGGGCACGTGTAGATAATGGAGT